TGAGCAAACAGCACATGGACTCGCGATGACCTTTTCCCTTTCCACTCCATCTCTATGCCTGGTCAAACAGTCGTGTCATATCGCACAGCGCGCTTCTGACGAGACTTAAATGTGCCAAGTTTACGTCAGTTTATCAACTAAGAAGGTTGGATTTTACACTTAGATATGTTTTAAGGAGGGTAAACTTGGTATTTGAGTCGACGCAAATTAATTCGGAGGCGGGTAGTAACGCTGTGACCCTTTCGCATATTGTGTTCAGATGAACTGACCTAGTTTCGATTACCGACGCAAACAGGAAGAAGATTAAGGGCAAATGAATGTGAACTAAGGTCAAAAACACGCAGACTGCTCTTTTTTATACATTTTCTGTTTTTATATGGTATTTGGCAATGTCTTATTTTCACCAGTAACGCAGGCAAATACATGTAGTATACTTTTATGAATAAAAATTATATTTGGAATGAATTATCAATATGTCATTCTGTGATGTGCATACATAGGGTTTTGCCAGATCCACTCAGTGAGTGTGTCCTATTCTTTTTTTCAATCGATGCTCATTGTCTTTAGATGTCACTTGACTGGTAATATGACTACAGCTTTTCTTCAATATAAGCAACCCTGCATGTAACAGATTTGATGAAATTGATTTAATTCACACTTTTTTCTAGAGCTAATAATATGATTACATTCTGTGCCAAATGAACTCAGAATCTACATTTTATTTGTTATGGAAAGAAATACTTCCAAACATAATGTAATGTACACCTCTTTGTAAATAAGGACCTCATACATATTAATTAGTCCAGTGTTTTAGGGGCAATTATTCACTGCTACTTTTCACAAACTCAAGAAATCAAAAAAATTTAGGAGTGCAAAAAGTTTTTAAATGATTTTCGTCATTTTTGTCACTGTTGAAACTTTTCATTTGTTAACTGGACAAGCCTTGTTGCAGATCTATCTTGGTGATCGGTCTTGGATATAAGCCAGCAGTGTGTTCTGTTTTTTTTTTTTTTTTTTTTTTTTGTTTTGTTTTTGTCTAATCATTTATCAACCGATGTCCCATTTTCAATTTTTTATTTAATGCCATTTTTTCACCAACTTTGACAAGTGAATGTCATTGGCTAGCATGATGAAGAAAAATTTTATATGATAATATCTAATCTTTTCCATCTTCAAGCATATTAGGACTTCTTATCTACAGACCAGTCAATACAATAACTCGAATGTCATAAACAAACAAAAAAATATGTAATATTGATGGGCTTATTATAGCTGTTAAAAATATAGAGTAGAACATATGATTTAATTTGCTAGGTGGCTCATTACAACTGTGAAAGTCAATTGGTGATGATTAAAAAGTTCATTGTTACTATTAGAGCTGTGGGCTGAAATATACTGTTCAAAGATAAGTAGAGCTTAATCACTGACCTACTTATGCCTGCTTGCTGAGATTTTTTTCAGGTTATCAAGTTCAAAACTTGAAACAAAAATCCAACAAGGCCCAGTAAAGAGATGCTATTTTTTATCCATCAATTTTAATTTTTTTTTATTGAATATGAAGTTCATTAGATTAAAAGCATCTGAATCTGTGAATTTAAATCTTTGTCACATTTGTTAAATAGGATTTTATGTAACATTATTAAAATTTAGCTCAATTGGGTACAATTCTTACATATGGTTGAAATGTAATATATACAAGGACAAACCCAGATTAGTCTGTTTTACATAACCTCTATGCTGATATATCTCCAAGTCTGTACTCCTACATCTGATATGGATTTAAAAAACATAAGCATGGCTTGCTATACACCTTATTGCTTTAATTAATGTTCTAGTTGTATAAAATAAAGCACCTGCATAGGTACAATGAAGGAAAACCCTCACCTTATCACCAATGGGGTGTTTGCAGTACACATGTAAGGTTAAAACATTGAATTCCACTCGTGTTCAAAGTAGCATTTTAAGACGGATTTGAAAAAAAAAATGTATTGCAAAATATAGTAGAAGAAGAAAAGTGTCAATTTCTAGGTCATACTTGGCTAATAGTTTATTTATTTATTTATTTATTTATTTATTTATTTATTTATTTAGTTTAGCACCAGCACTTATCCAAGCATTTTTTCAATCATGTTGGTCTCAAATGGAGTTCACATGAATAATAATAATAAGATTTGCATGCTTGGGAACACCAAGGTTTTCTTCCCAGAGGACACAAGGCAATAATCCTATGCTTTCAACTTTGTGTGCACTTGGAGAATAACCTCCCATCTACAAATAAAACATGAACAGAACTCGACCTTGCCATTTCTTTGAACTTTACAGTGATGGAAATCAATGTTGATACACAGGAACCATTATTACACAAATCTGGCTGATGGATGCTTTGTTAACGACATACCTGATTTTTATTACCACAAGAACATAAGAGGAAAAAAAAATCAAATGTATCATCAGATGGCCAGATTTCTGGTCCAAGCTATACTCAGTCTATAAACTCAAGGTGTTTTAGGCTCAATTCAAAGTGAAAAGGCGCATTTACAGCTGATAAACTTGTCATTATCGGACAACCTACAAGGATTGGTTGATAGAAAGGGGTGGGTCCAACTGAAATGTAAAAGCACCTTGAAGTAGTCCTCGTCATAGCATGACTGTTGACTCATCTTAAGTTGAAACTAAGCGCAAAAAAAAAAAAAATTGGAATCCATACTAGTACACTAGTAGTGTGAAATTGGTAGCTTGGTCATCAATTTTTGTGGAAATTTCAACCCTTTTTCCAAAAATTCAATTTTCTTGGAAATTTCAATAATTTTCTTGTCCTATAATCTTATACCTGAATATAGATTTACCTGTTATTTGATCTGAAAATTCTGGTGACATTTATCTTTCTCTTGGCTCACACTTGTCTTTTAGTTAAATGCTGTAAATGATATGAAAATTAAGAAACTGAATGGAGGGCATTTTAAAAAGTGAATGCGTGAAAGGGTAATTGTATACATGTAGATGTAAATGGTTTTGAAACTTAGTTTAACAAAAACAAGAAAAAGGAAATATTTAAATGTATGGGGGGTATAATAGGCCATCATGATAGAAGCAATCTGGTTCTTTTATCTCGCTTTTGAGTCATCTTTTCTCTCTCTCTCTCTCTCTCTCTCTCTCTCTCTCTCTCTCTCTCTTTTTTTTTTTTTTTTTTTTTTTTTTTTGTTTGTTTGTTTGTTTTTCTTTTTTCACTTTGGTTGTGCTACTGACACACAAACAATAAGCTGAAAAGTATGTTAAAATGATGTCACTTTCTATGCCAAAACCAAGCTTAATTCTTAATCTCTTTCAATAACCGGCTTATTTTATGGTTCTCGGAAAGCCTGAAATGTAATCTACCGCGTGATAAATCTCACGTTTTGACAA